CGTAGGTAATGTATCATATTGGAAGTTATAATTTGAATATACTGAAAATGTATTTCCGATAGATACTTATGTCTTCTCACCCTTCTTCCCCACTGAAAACTGGTGCTTTCATCTTCTGCCAAAACTTGAAGTGATAATTTTATAAAATTGAATAGAGGGAGTCACATGTGTCATGAGAGTATATTTCACTCTTATTGGTGGAGGGTTGACACATGATGATTTGCATGAGAGACACTTTGGAATCAGTCAATTCCAATGGAGGGAAAATAGAATGCTTGTGGCATCTGTAAAATTTATTTTAGCATATAGAGGGCAGCACGGAATGAGAATATCTATTTATGTTAGTGGAGGTATGTAACTATCGGAATTACATTTTCTGTGTAGGAAAATTATAACTTTCAACTATAAAACCTAGTAGTATCTCAAGAGATTCAGCTCAAGTTAGTCTTAAATATATATAATAGGCTAACATTGCAAAACGATCTGTAATAAAAGTATAGCAGTAGAAATTATAAATTTATAAAACTAGATATATGAACCATTTTAATCAATGCTGTTAATGAAAGTAATATTAAAGAAATAACAGAGCATACCTTACTTATGGAACACACAAACACTGGCTCTTAGCTTCAAGTACGTCGGAAATTTAATGTTCGTTGAACAATATACATTGATGTAGCCATTTATAAGCAAAATGTTCCATAATCCCCTTAAAAAACATCTTGTGACAAATAAAAAAAACCATTGAGCAGTTCTGAAAGAGGAACTTGGCATTTGATGTAAATTTCTACACCATACAGTACTTTTTAGGTGTGAAGTCAAATAATGGAACAGTACCAATAGTATGACCAAAAACCAATGTTTTTGACAATACAGAATGATAAATCAGATATGAAATGAATACTTGAATCATACAATAAATAGTTAGAACGTTTCTGTTCTAATTAGGAAATAACAATGTTAAATTTAATAAATATAAAGCAGTATATTAAACTTACTATGAGGTGTGTCTGACATAACTAATCCGACTTTATTCTCTGTCGCTCAACAAAACACATGGAACAGGCAACGGTACTGACTTGCTGTTATTAAGCTAGTTCTGACTATGTGTGTGTAGTAAGAGCTTAAAATTAATGAAAGGTAAAACTAATGGTGGTCAATACACTAAAGCAGTTCATTATTACCTTAAACAGTTTTCAGAGAAATTAAAATATAGACATGCAAGTTTTAAAAACGTCACGATATTCTGTAAAACTTCTTAGTCCATAATTAGTTTCAAGGATATTGTTTAGTTTATCACCAAATTGAATAAGTTTTGTCTTTAATATGTGATAAGAGAAACCTTGTAAAGTTCCCAAGCTCTTTCCAAGATGCCTTGCAGGATTGAACAAATTCTGTTACTTCTAATAATCTGTGAACATTGTAACATGACTTATTTTAATATTTGCATTTTGGAAATGGAAGGTCATGACTTCCAAGTTGAATGTGTATGTTTTACTGAAAATGTTGGACTTGAAAGTTGGATTGACAATGCTGATATGTAAATCCAGGTGGCATGTTTTGTATTTAGTGAAAGCGTTTTCTTTTTCCCGAGTGAGTTCTGCTGGATAAATTTGTTAAGCTGTGTCAAAATACCTTCACACTTAGTTATATGAATATCATTGTTATATTTACAGTCATAACTGACGTGTAAAGCTTTATTATAGTATCTCTTACTTATATACAGAGATTCCAGCTTGAATAAATATAAATCTCAAACTTGTGGGCTGAAGTTACCTCACTTAGGAGTTCCTTGTATTTGTTGGAAGACATGTAGACCATAGTGCACAAATGTGTTGTCAAGTAAAAAATACATGGCCTGCAAGAATTTATTTAATGTGAAAAAGTGGTAGTTTTTATGAATGACATTGTCACAGAAGCATCTTTATTTACTGATGCAGTCCATTTATTTAGAAGAATTCCTAATATATCTTAAAATTGTTAATGAAAGGCTCTTTTTGATTTTATCAGTAGGAAGGCTAGCATAAAGGTGACTGAATTTGGACATTTCTAATGTTATAGCTTAAAGCCCTTAATTATATCTTTTCGTTAAATGATGTTGCTGATGATAATGAATGGATTAACACCGATTCTCTCTTTGATGATATTACAGTATTTATTCAAATGCTCTTTAATGTATTTCAGATCGTTATTTACTAGAATTGACAGATCCATGGTCATAGTGTTTTAGCTCTAGCATTAAACCTGTATTTGTATGGTGTTTTATGTAGTTTGGGAATCCAGAATAATTTGGATATTACATTATAAAATTTAACATTGTAACTAATGTCTGATAAAAGTGTAACGTGTTTCTATAGGATATTTTCTTCATTCATTTTAATGTGTTTATATGCCTTATTAAATTTCATGATGAGGAACCCACTTTTTGGAAAATAAAGTTAGGGGATGGCTTGAGTGGGTAATGGAAGAAACTTTATTATATATGTACAATGTTTCGACAAGAATATGTCATCATGTAGTTAACTTAAACTCAGGAATATATATATACAATATTGAACAAAAAAGTCACATGTCAGGAGACTGCTTAACAGCTTAGTAAAAGTATCTTGGTACCCCAGGGTGTTGGAATGGAATAGGGTGTTTTGTTCATTTAAGATGGTTTCCTTTATTTTGCATTTGTTGATGTTTAGCTCTTTGTTTAAAGTTACAGTGTTTTGTATTGATATTCTGTGGTTTTTGAGCTGCAGTGGTGGTAAACATGGGAGGGTTTTTTTATTATGTTAGGTGAATCTGGTTTCCAATATTCTTCTGGCTTATCCGATGTAGAATTCTCGATAGTTATTGCCCATTATTTTATAAACCTTTTTACTTGAAGGTATAAGTTCATTTACCAATAAAAACAAAGTTTTTTGTTTCTTTATCAGCAGTGGTGATGGTGGATCTACTGTGTAAATAACCTACATACATATTTAGTAACTTATTACCCATGACATATTAATTTTTGTGAATATTGAATATCTAAAGATAATTCAGTACAAGTAGTAAGATAATTAAAATTTATTTATTAAAACTAAACAGAAGATAATTTAGGAAATAATGGGTATATGAATCATTAGAAATAATAATAAAATAAAATTTGGTTTATGAAAAATGAAGTGTAGGCAACCCATAAAATTAGTGAATATATGAACATTTGGTTGTGTAATTAGACATCAAGTTCAGATGATTCAGATGAAATTGAAGAGATTATTGAAGAAGGTATAATCCCATCTTGTGATGAAGAAAGTATTGACAAAAAAGAGCTTAGGTCAGACAAAACAGCACCTCTGTCAACTCTGTCATCAGGGAATGTGAACCACCATAGTGTAAAGTATGTAGGAGGTAAAACAAATCAGTGGTTTGACTTACAAGTGGACTCGGAACAAAAGTGTAAGTGGAAATATATTGTTTAAATCATAAATCATTTTATCTGAGTATTTTGAAGAATCTTTCTGGAGTATATACTTAGTCTGAAGTTTTTAGAGGTAAAAATAAGTAACTTGTAAATTGGGAATGAATATTTTTTGTTTTTTACTTAAGCTGCTTAATCAACTAATTTATAAACATACTTTTTATAAGATGAGAAAAATCTTTTACCATTCAGAATAAGTAAGAATGTCATGAAAAAGTCAAGAATAGTGCATCTTTTTGTGATCATTGCTTAGTTTGTAGCAAAGGATTTTTTAAGCTTGACTTATAGTAACCGTATAAAAAAAGTTTAAGGTTATTCTTTAAGTATTAATTATTCACAGGGATAAATGTACATAAATTGCTAACATACCTTACAAAAAAAATGAGGAAAAAATTTTTTATTATCTCTCTCAATACGGGCTTGGTGAATTTGACCGACCACATGACCTATTTGTACTTATTCAAAGTCTCTATAGATTTGATAACTTTTAATATAGTGTATATATCTTCATGAAATTTAGCAATCTTTCAGTAAACATTATGTCTTTCACATACAAAAAACATATTTTTAGTGAAATGTTTTTGATTAACTAAAAAAAAGATTTATCCATGAATATTTCGAGTATTTGTTTTGAATAGTCCGTGGGAAAAGTAATTTTTATGTTAAGATTATAAATTCTTTTCTTCATCTCAAAAATCTCAAATTTCATTTGTATAATTTCTAAAACCTCCTAAATACATTTCAAATGTTTGTTTTCAGTAAAACTTTAAATTTTATGTTTTTTTCTCTACCCTAACTCTATACAAGATTGGTCAATTTGACCGATCTTGTAACCACCAAAAAAAAAATCTAAATTACACTCTTTTTCTTTCTAGAATGACTTCAAATATAACATGAAACTACATCTGTTTATCCTAAGTAGCTTTAAACTCATAACAGTATACATCTATTTATAGTTAAATTTTATTGTTTTATTGCCCCTTGAACTGTGTATAATTACTATTCATGCCATTATAAGTTGTAAGTCACTTGGGGAACATACAGCTCATGTTATGCTATCGAATTACATTACCCACAAGCTACTTCGAGCTGCTTGTGTGCGTGCCTTGTGATATATTATTCATTTTATCTAATAGAACCTTAACTAACGTAAAGAGATTCCTATTTTTACATTTTAGTTACTTTCATAATAATAAATAAAGAATAAACATGAAAAACAAGAAATAAAGTACTTACCTGTATATGCTTTTTTTTGCTGTTGACTGTTGATGACATTTAGTCCTACTTTTTTATACTAATGGTAGTAATGCTCTAAATAAATTTTATTTAATTAAATAATGCATCAAAGAACATAGAATAATAATATGCAAAAAGCAGACAATTTCCTCTAACTCTCACAATTTTTCTAGCTTTCTAACTATGCAACAGGAGCAGTTACAAATTCATCCAAGCTAGTTGTTATATTTCCCTTGGGAACGAAGCTTGTACTATTAGCGAAATTTACAATCCTCCATTCAGAAAACAATGTAATATAATACATCATTTGATAAATGAAAACCTTGGCTTTCCATTGGTTATAGATAATATAGAATTAAACATGAAAGAACTATTAACAAATCCTGAAAGAGAGGATGTGACAGGTGGGTGTGGCAAGAGGGGTCTGATTTTCTATTTGATGGCTCTGTAACCAAACAAAACTGAAAGCTATAAAAAAATAATGGTTTGTCTGAGCAATGATGATTTTATAGTGAGTAATTTACATTGAATTTCATACTTATTGGAGGGGTGGTGAATAAAATAGAGAAGACACATAGAGAAAATGTGTCACCTTTCTCACACTAGGAGAAATTCAAGATTTTTTTTTGAATATTGCCTTATAAAATTAAGAACTTAAAACTTATATACTATTAAAACATGGATTATTGGCTACAGTTTTATGCTATACTAATTAGTATAACATAGACAAAACTAAGTTTAATAAAACCTCGTAAGGTAAGGTTAATGGATAGAACTAATTTTAGTGTGTAAAATAATATTGTCACTGAAGATAATAAGATGTAAAGAAAATTTTTAAATTAATGTTGGGAAGTGTATCAACTTGAATGTTAAAGTTGGTCATGTATATTGTATCATAGTATTTAACCTGATATAAACTTTAACCACACTCATTCAATCAAAATTTCATTGAGTTTTGTTTTTAATACCACTTGGAATTCAATTTTCAATTTCAGAAACTACTCACCTCTTTGCACCACAAAGAGCTATTACCTTGGGCACACTGCCAGCATGTAAACACAGGCTCAATATTTCCTCACTAATGCTTATCTTTAGATGAGTTTTTCATAAGATTTACCAGAATGTTTGTGCTTCTTGTTTTAACCTTTCATTATTATTCATTGTGCAGCTTTTCTTTCCTTAATTTTCTTGATTACTTGACAGAACAATACTAGATTTTAAACGTATCAGTTAAAACTTTCTTTTTATTTACCTTCAATTTCATTTTCTTTTAATTGGCTTTGTATTTTTGGGAAACATGTCCCATTGTCTGTTCCTCTTGTTTTAATCCAACGTATTGGTTTTGTTCAGTACTCTTCAAGATTGTCATTGGGTCTTTGAAACATTGCCATACCTGGCTCTTTTTCTTTCTAACTAATAACAAAACAAACAAAGCAGGAGTCATCCAATAATGAATTGCAGTTGGAGACATTGAAATTGAATGATATAATTGCCATTATGCACCATGTGGTTGGTTCCATTCTATTCTTGAGATCCAGGAAAAAAACTAGATGTGGCAGAAATTTTGTTTGAATGAAGAGAAAGCAATGTGATAGTTGCTTGCTCTTCCCAAAAGGGGTGTTCAGGAACAATCATTCCCCTTCAACCCTGCGCTTAGGAAAGTTTTACCAGTTGTACTTGTTTTTGATTTTGTGGGTTTATGTCTTGCAATCATAGTTGTGGAAAGCTGTGACGAAGTTTGGAGAAGATACGAGAATATTGGAACTGAAGGACTTCTTGTTTTTTATGGTTGGAGGTTTCATTCAACTTGAAGATGTGGTTCAGTGATGTGGAGAGACACAAACTATGACCAAAATAACCAGTTACAGCATGTTTTACTTCTAAAATTTAAAGATTGAAAGAACTAATTTGATTATGGTTATAAAAAAGTATATATATCAAATCATCAAGAAATAAACCAAAGATATAAGAATGCCCTTTTCAGGGAGGTGGGTCTGGGACCTTTGGGTCCAATGCCTGGGAGAATTATGTTGTGGGGGAAACCAGAATGCCTGGAGAAAACCCACTTTCACAGGACAGATGTTGAATAATCAGTTTGTCCTGTGCCCTGGCTGTGGAAAGAAACACGGTAGTTAAAAACAACAAGACACGGTATAATATTTGAAACTCAACAGTTGTGGGTGTTTGGTTGCTCTGTGTTCTTTTGTTTGCAATACAGATTGTATGGAGATGTGTGTTTGAGGGAAGTGCTTGTAATTGTATGTAGTGTAGCTGCAGACTTGTTTATTTTTCTGATTTATTGTAGTATTTGTAGGCAAGCTTAGTAAGTATATTTCTTAAAGTAGGGAGGTTGCTAGTTTTATGCAGTTATTTTATGGGAGTGAATTTTGGGAACCTAGGGCTAATCTAATTGCTCTGTTTTGTTGCAATTGTAGTTTTCTGATGTTATTTTCTGACATGTTGAATGTTATTTGACAGCTGTATTCTACAAAAGGGAGTATAAATGAGTTGTATATTCTTAGCGCTGTTTCTGGTGTGTAGCCTGTGTGTTTGCTGGCAATTAGTGTGATATAATTACTTATTGAGACATGTATGTTTGTTCCATGTTAGACATGTGTCAAAAGTAACGGCAAAAAATTTAATATTGTTGTTCATTTTTGTTTCTGTTTCTCCTAACTTTAATTCAATTTTCTTCAGTTTTTTTTGTGTGTTTTCCTAGTATTTCTTATACATTGGCTTTTTTTAGCTGATGCAGATCTTAAGTATTCATTTCTACTCACTTTGGTTTCTTGTCCTTGGGACCAGGAGGACCCACCAGGTTTTCCATTGTATATAGCCTTTTCATTTCCTTGTACTCTTGTTACAATCCATGGTCCCACCATTTTTAGAGCTGGTCATCACAAGTCTTGGAGGCGATTTATTTCTGGAGCAACCACTTAACTCTGCTCGTATGGGAGCTCTTCTCTCCCACTTTGATCATTGGTGGACTCCCTTTGCTACAGTCTATTGAATTTCTTAGGAGTTTTCTCAGGAGGGGTACTTTCTGTGCTTCTACTCTCAATTTCACCTGTTTACAGATCACAAAACAATTCGTTATCTCCACTCTGAGGTTTTATGCTTGTTTATTTTCTTTATTCCCATGATGATGGAGGGTTGTTGGCCAGATATCACTCTGTCCCAGTTGACCCAACTTTGGTCTTTCCTTGGATCCCAACAGGCAGTTTTTCTCATTCTGGTGTATATTATTTTCACATCCTTTGATTCATCTGCAGTTGTCAAACATTTGATTCTTAGTTCTTCCCTATGAGCTAGCTACAGCTCTATCTTTTTATCATTGTGGCTGATGGGCTCTTTAGACCTGTTGTCTCACTACTGTATGAATGTTTGGTTTCTACTTGCCTTTTCCAACATGGCTTCCTCTGTTGTGACCTCCCTTTTCCTTTGGGAGTCATCTCTTTGGGGTGGTGGGTTCGGCTCTCCATTTAAGTTCCACCTCACACTGTATTTCATTCAATTGAGGGTCTCTCTCCTTCACATACTAGGCAGACTTAGTCTGTAACTTTGTCTTTGTGCTATGGAGCTTTTGATACCAAGGCTTTTATGTCTCCTTCATTTCCTGCATGAGCCTTTTCTGAGGACTCTCTTCTCTCATGGGTGTGCCCATATGTATTCCCTTTAGTGGTTTTTCGCCTATCAAAGCAGGTATCTTTAAAGATATAGTCTTTTTTTTTGTGGGGGCTCACTTAATCCTACACGACCCTGGATGTACCTCTAGTCCTCCTTACTCATGTTTGCATCTGTTTGGAGCCTTCTAGAACTCAGACATTAGTCTATGGGCTCTTTCTGTTTACAATCTGAATTTCCATATCTATAGTGTGAATAGCGCAGGTGACGTTGAGCTTTATGACAACCAATTCTACAAACTCACCTTTCCACTGCCTCTGTTCCCATGGGGTGCACTTCTGAACACTTGGTCAGTTTTTGGCATCTGGTTTCCAGGGGCAAGAATTCTCTATTTTTATGTTCTTCAGTTAGTAGCTCTTTCACAAGCTTGCCATTATATTCTGCCTCATATTCCTGGTCTTCTTATCATGATTCATTCAGACAATCTCTTTGTTTTTTATTCCTCCTCCTCCCCAACAGTGAGGCAATCACTACCAGGGTCTCTGTTTTCCTGGCTCTGGATTTTCTTTTTTGGACCCATGACTGCCACATTGAGTTGTGAATCTATCATTTCTTAACAGCTCAGACTCTGGTGGCAGATTGACTATCTCGCCTAAGCCTTGACCCTACCCACTGTGTGATTTTTCTCTGTCTTCTGGTGTTTTCAGTGGATTTGCTTCCACTATGGGCATTCTATCATCATTGCTTATCCATCTCCCCTCCACTGCTTGCTTCCACTCAGTTGGTATCCATTCCCAAACTCTTAAGCTCTGGCTGAAGATACTCTAGTATGTGTGGAGCCACCCAGTTGCTCAGAGGTAAGTCTCTTGACTGCTGATGCTAAAAATCAGATTTCAATGTCCATAGTGGGCACAGTGCAAATAGCCCATTCTGTCACTTTGTGCTTAACAACAAACAAATAAATAAGCTATGTGTGTGGTATTGTTAAACTTCCTTTAATATGCTTCGGACATGTTTATTTCCCTCCTCCTTTATGGGAACCGTCAGTTGCTTTTGTCTTGGCCTTCTCCTGCATTATTTAGCACAGGGACAGGTTCAACTTTTTCCCTGACTACTCCAGAATTTGAGTGGCAAGGAAGAGAGATTAGATGTTTTCATCCTCCATTCCATTTTTTCTCTTTATGATTGTTCATATCCAGATCATCTTTTTTTGTTCTCTATGGTCTGTTCATTATTATCTCACTGGTACTGCCCCTTTTTAGAGCACTTGCCAACGTCTTGTTGTAGAATTCTCTTTCCTCTAGTCACTTATGTCCTTTCATTTTGCCCAGTTGAGTTATACATCCCATCCGGCTACCTTCTCTTTTTGTGGGTGATGACCCTTTTTTTATTTTTCATATCTCTTCCCATCATATTTGTCATCTCATGGCTTCTCTTGCCTCTAACCATCAATATCTTCTGTATAAAATCTTGCAGGCATGGATGTGGATGACTCCTTACATATTATGTGCTATTATTTACACTACGTGGAGGTTTCACCTATCCTAGCTTACATGTCCTTCCAGTTATACCATTGTCCACTCTTCACAGTGGCTCTGATAGTGAATTGTTTCTTTTTATAGTATCCCAATCACCTTATTCAAAACATACATATATCTGTATTATGCAGATGATTGAATCCACTTGAGTGGCTAGTGTTGCAAAAAAAAAAAAAGAATGACAGCACTAAGTGTGAGTCTGCATTCACGTGATAATGCTCATGGGGATTGTTGTCCTACTGTTGGTGGATTACTATAGTCTAATGATGATTACAACATAGGCTGGTGCAATACATGTTGATATATGAATGTATGGGTGGTAGCTTTGTTCAAGGCTTGTGGTATGCACAGGATATTACATGACAATGTGTATGAGATAATAGCTCTTTGTGGTGCAGAGAGGTGAGTATCCATCTGAGATACACTTTGAGGTAGGGAAAATTCTAACTTTTAAATCATAACAATGTTTAAATCAATAAATGAATGTAGTTTACTGTTTGAGGCAGTTATGGCAAAATTAACCTAATATGAAAATACATTATAACAATGGAGTTTTAAACACAACTGGTATAACATTAGTGAACTATGTTCAAGTATTAGATCAAACTCTGATTTTAACATTGCATTGATTTCATATACTTCTTTTTACCTTGCAAAATATGTTTATAGTATTACTGTATTTTCAACTATTGTTGTTAAGCTATGACCTAATGCCAGACTGTGGTAGATGCTGAAAAAATTAAGAGTGCAGTAGAAACAAAGTTTAAAAATGTGCATTTAAGGTATGATATGAATTGTCTGTATTGCTTATTGTTATTATTTTTGGTTCTCTATGTTGTGGCCCGGCATGACGACATGGTTAGGGCGCTTGACCCAATCTGAGGGTCGCGGGTTCAAATCCTCATCCCACCAAACATGCTCACCCTTTCAGCTGTGGGGGCATTATAATGTGACGGTCAATCCCACTATTCGTTGGTAAAAGAGTAGCCCAAGAGTTGGCGGTGGGTGGTAATGATTAGCTGCCTTCCCTCTAGTGTTTCACTGCTAAATTAGGAACGGCTAGCGGATATAGCCCTCGTGTGGCTTTGCGCGAAATTCAAAAATAAACAATAATCTTTATGTTGGTTGTCATTAATATATGTTATATAGGATAAATGGCAGGTCCATATTTGATCTTTTATATCTGTATGCTTATCAAGTATTTTAGTAGTGTGTTTAAAGTTACTGAAAGCTTACTCTTATAAAACAGCAAAGCTTCAAAGAATACTGTCAGCCAAAAGAAAAGAGTCTGGGACACGTGAAGAGATGCCTGATGAGGACAGAATAAGCAGTGAAGTTCTTCAAGCTCTCAAAGAAGAAAACAATTCATTAATTAACTCTTCAGTAGACTACAGAAGACAAAAATTGCTCTCTTGTACAGTGAAGTCTGACTTGAAGCCAGAGAACGAAAGCTTGTTAGCAAGAAATTCACTTGCATCTGTTTTTAATAAAGAAGACTCAGTCAGTCAAATTATTCATCATATTGGTCAGTTAGATACAAAGTAAGTATTTCTGCTGAATTACTTGAAAAAATGGGTTGCTGTATGTGACTTAATCATTGGTAAATATGTGATTTTACTATATAGTAACAAAATAATGTTTCCTCTAATTACAGAATGTTATATATACGTATGTAAGAAGTACATAATTTTAATAATTGAATGACAATACCTCATGAAAACTGAATTGGTGCAGAGACTATTTAAATGTGATGGTTTTCTGTAGCTGCAACAAAAATTCTTTAATTATTTTTAACTGATTCACTATGCTTGGAAATCATGTAAGATAAAAAAAAAAGCTGATAATCAACAATTAAAAAAAGCATGTTAGCTTAAATGCTTGTTTAAGGTGAACTTTTTTTAAAGGGGTGAGCTTAAACAATTAGGAATTAACTGTAATAGTTATTATATATATGTATATGTCTCTGTGTATGTGTGTGTATATATATATATATATATATATATATTTCTTTATATTTTTGTCCATATTAAAATTAAACAGACTTCTACAAAACTTTAGATTTTATATATAACTCTTTGGGTAGTTTATATTATTGTTGTTGTTGTTATTATTATACGAAAAAAACATTAGACTTAAAACATCTGAAGATATTTGCTCAAATTGTTATCATAAGCTTGTTAACAGTTAAAAACATATTTTTTATAACTCATTCTTTCTTTTAATATTAGATTCATTAAAAATATGTTATAAAAAATGAGTTTACTTGTTTATGCTGTTTTGTACTGACCTATTATTAAAGAATGAATGTGGAATTAAATCTGGAAGGAAGATAATATAAGACACTTAGATTAATTTTAATTTCACTTTATCTTACAGAAACTGTTTAAATAACTAAAAAGTTAAGAATTAAATATTCTGTGTAAATTCAGCCATGTATCTATAACCAGAAAATATAAATATCAGTAAGAGACTCAGTGCACTTTTCATTTATCTGATATGCAGAAAGTTATTATTATATACGAATAAAGAAACAAATAAGTTACTTTTTATAGAGAAACTGTAGTAATTTTTATTGCAGACAACAAAAAAATTTTCTGAAGTCATTAGAGATGATTCGGTCAGCAGTTGGTAACATGGAAACATCAGCTGCAGCCTCATCTTCGGACAGTGCACATAGTGAAAACCCTGCCCTTAATGAACATCAGTCAGATTCGAAGAACCAACAAATGTTCTTCTCCCAACAGAATCAGGTACACAAATATCAAGAATACATTGATTTTAACCCCAACTTTTTGTGCAGTTAGCAGTGTGTAAACCATGGTAACTCTAGTAGCATACTAAATTAAATTAGATTATATTTTTAAAGACAAGACTCATTGAGAAAGGTTATCAGATTTTCAGGAGTGTTGACGACATTTTTTTCCACTTGATTTTAGTATTAACAGAAAAATTTACTTGGTGAATGCATAAAAAAGTTCCAAGTTACTTTAATATTTATAGCTCACACTGTAAATATTATTCTTTTATGGCTTGTTAATACCTTTTTGGTTAAAGTTCATTTATTTTATAATGTCATTGAATAAAATAAAATACAGCTAAATAAGCATCTAATACATGAAGAGCCATCTATGTATAAAATGCTGACCAAAATAAAATGTTTATGTAACACCCTCTTCTTTTTTAATGTTCAAACTTGAAGTGAAAAACTTTTAAAATTAAAGTGTACCAGTTAATTTAATTTAGGCTTCATTTCAAGAAACATAATAGCTTGTGGCACAAAAGATTTTTGGGGTTCATAAAAATGAGTGAAATCATAAAGTATATTACAAGTTTCTATAAACGTAAATAAAATCACGACCTATATCTCCAGAATGTAATTTTACTAGCTCAAAATAGCGAAATATTGAGCTAATAGAGTTAAATTCTGGAGATATAGGTCGTGATTTTAATTACAGTTATAGAAATGTCTCATAATAAACTCCAGTTTGCATTAAACAAAGTTAAGAATGATATTGTGTTTTTCAATTGTGATACTTGCCATTGTTATCTTTAATTTTGAAAAGTTTTTGTGGAAATTCACTGGTAAAATTTGCCTTATAGTTACCTAGTTTAATCTATCTATACTTCCAGTAGTTTGGAAATTTCGTCAATAGTTTTATAAATTTGTATTTCAGAATAGGCAGATTTATCTCTGAAATATGAAAAGCCTTTCCTTGTTGAGTTGCTCTCATGCTATATACAATTTCTTAATGGCCTGGACACCATGCCGAGCATGTGTCAATGTACTCTGAGTTCTCCACTCTCCCATCTTCACAATACTTATTGCAGGAGAACATATACATAATCTCTGCTTTCTTGTCACAGTCCTAATTTTCTTACTGACAGTTGAATTGTTAACTTTACTCACTGTGAATTCAGAAGTCGATGCTTACTACTGCTGCAAATGTTTCTACCAATTTCAGAATTCTGTAATCTCTGTTATGGTTCTTGGAAAGTTTCACATTCATGTTGATGCTCAATTGCAGAAGATCTGCTCATTCTGATATGGTATGTTACCTTCATTCACATAAATAGCTATTCTCGTTCACCACTGCTCTCTATATGCAAAAAAATGTTTATGCATCCCAAAAGCCTTTTATCTCCTCTCCATTGGAACTGACTGATTCTAATGCATCTTTCATGTAAATCATCATGCATCAACCCCCCAAAAATAAGAGTGTGACATACTTGTTTGGCAGTACTCGTGTTCAGACATTTTTATTTTGGGTGCTCTATGTGTGAATCATGAATTTAGTAGTTTAATTTCTGAAGTGGGATTTCTTCATTGCCTTTTTTCTTTACATTGAACAAATCTTTCAACTTAGTTTCCCAATCTTTTTTTTTCTTCGCACACTCGCATATTTTACATCAAACACTTCCATTTGATTTATGTATTTTATGTTTCTATTTTGGGATCATACCTCTAGCACTATTTCACAGGCTGCAGGTGGGGGAGTACAAAATCCAGTGGAATAAAAAGGCTATCAAATCTTCATCAGCCCAAATAGATTTGGCTTGCTCAAGAAGACTAGTGGGACAAGTTCAGGAGGAGGAGGTTGACCCACATTATGAACAGCAGATAATAGCAGAGAAACCCAACATTGGGTTTGTCTTTCACTACACCTCCTGCAAAATCACCTAGGCCTAATACTGCACTTTTCAACATGATTTCTCAGGTATGTGATGTTTTATCCATTATCCTGCTTTCCTATGATTCCTTATTACCTCCATGTTGGTTCGTTTGTCATCTTTGGCTTTTGCTTTACCCACTTGGTTTCACTGTTTATGGGATTTTCTGGGTTGGGTTTGTTTGCCACCTCTTTCTTTTAGGGATTTATGTGTGGCCATTTTTCTTTGATAGTATTTGTGATCATGTACCTGAGACTTCCCAGATAGCATGTGTCTATCAGCCCTCTTCTGGCATCATTCTAGATTTGTCAGCAATTTGTCAATATTGGCCACCATCTTTCATCAGGCCTGCATCAGTGCTGTGTCATATGATGAGTGCTGGCCATCAACACTCGGGCCAGTGTTGGTCTCGTGTTAATAGGGTTTACAACGTTAATTACATATAAATATATACACACACACACACAAAAATATTCTTGATATTCAAAACTTCAGTTATACAATTAATCTATTAATATATTTTGTAGAAAACACATCGCTATCACATAATTTATTTTTTACCAATATTATATAACTATATAAAAGTACAGATCATATTGCTTATTTATTTATTGTTACTGGATACTGACTGAGCATGCACATCAATGCTGTATATCTATATCTCTCTATCTATATGAACAGCTGGGTTTTGCTCAGAGCAAGTTGTTAGTTAAAACTTTCGAAGTTACTATTACACTTTTACAGTCATAATTATATAAGTTGTATTAACTCGAAAATATCAACTTTTCTAAATATTTTATTTGTAATTATCTTCTGCACTAATTTACAACAAATATATTGGCCTCACAAGAAGAGGTTAGTATTTTGAATTTGATATGTATTGACAGTGCAGTTTTTACTGAATTTACCGTTTAGGCCTAAGTTATGTTACATCAATTTAAATGTGCAAGATATGTCTGTAAACAAAATAAAATGTGTGATTTGAAATTTAGCTTTCTCATAATAAAACCAGATATACGTAGAGTCAGTCCAAATTATGAACTATGAATCTTTTAAAATGAATCAGTTAACTTTAGATGAAACAATGTAAGTATGACTTGTTTCATGTATATACTCTTATTTCTTTCACACCTACTGCCAACAGCATTCTTTTGTCTTTACAAAGTTATTGTCTTGCATTGCACTCACATGTGACACTTTCAATGGGACCTTGCTTCTCACTGATGTCTGACTTGAGCCCTTTTGTATGTTTATTTCTGACTGTCTTGTTTTAGTTGAAATGAGAGTTACAAGTCCAGGGATGTAAATGTAATGAAGTAACTTTAGTACAGTACTTGATAACTTTTTTCAGTATCTACTTTTTAAAAAGTACTTATATTTTCAAATACTTTAACTTAAGTAATTTTTAGGAGAATTACTAGTACTTTTACTCCACTACCTTTCATTTTATACATTTCGTTACTATTTTCAAAACTCAAATTTGTGGCAGGCAGTCAGAATGCAAGGTGTTTGCAGGAACTTAATTCTGCCAATTGCATGCATTGTTTACATCAGTCGGCTTGCTATCCCCCTAGCGGCTTGTCAAATTGCAAGCGTCTGCAGTCATCTTGCTGCCCAAGTACAAGACTTCATGGACCAGCCAAGATTCCCTTCTCAAAAAAAGTGAGATTCATTTTTTTCATTGAATATCCTAACTAAAGAGCAATTGACTTCTGACAGTATCACTGTACTTACATTAGTTTCACTGTAAATTAATAACCGATTACTGATAATTAATGATTAATAATAATTACTGATTAAATATATAAGTAAAATTTACCCCAATCTGTCTCCGTGACAATTAATTCATAGTCTATATGTGTCCATTCTATTTTGTAAACTCTGTCACATTGTACAAGTAACTTTGTTTTCTTATTAGTAGCGTGAACTCGTAAACTATGTGTAACTGTTACCACATACAATGTAGTACAGCATTTCCCAACATCTTACGAACTACTGTATTCCCCTGAATACTGTATACTGTTTTCATTAATAATAATAATAAATTTTATGTACATTTTAAACATTAACATCTGAAATTTCATATATGACTTCTGTGGATCCCTTTATAATCTTTCATGAACCTCTGGTTGGGAACCAACATTCATACATATATATATATTTTCGCATAGGTCTGGATTACATCCAGATGGAGGTGGACATGGACAGCCCAGCAAATGTTGAAGAGAAGTTCAACAGCTCTTCTTGTTTTTTAATTCCTTATATAGTTTATTGTGAAAGAATAACATTTGTACCATATTCATTATTGGCATTACTGTTGTAATAAGCTCATGCACAGTTGCCTGCATGAGTTGGCTTAAATCCTAACTGTAGTTGTGAATACCATAGTAATCAATTATATACAACAAATATGTTCTAGATAACTAAAAGAATGATAAATCTTGCATCACTGCTATTCACTAGTAATTTACGTAGTTTGGTAAATCTTTTTGGTAATAATGCTTGGAGATGGGTAATGAAGAAAAACTTTAATATAAGTTTAACATAACAGCAAATGTACAACGTTTCGACAAGGTTTGGTCATCATCAGGTACAAGTAGTTTACACTGACAAATATATATATATATATATATATATATATATA